GAGGCAAGTGGATCTCTGTGAGTTTGAGGCCAGCCTGGGCTACAGAGTGAGTTCCAGGACAGCCAGGAAGGCATAGAGAGACCCTGTCTCAACAAAACAAAAGGCAAAACAAATAAAAATTCTTGTGTAAAACACTGTGATCAAGTATATGCCTGAACATTGGTGATAGTGACGCCACTGGGAAAAGAAATATTCGGGCAGTAGGTGGTTGGATTAGAACCAGAAAGCCTCACTGGAATGGATGTTAGCAGCTCTCAATTTCCGTAACCGCTACTTCAGAATTTACCTTGGTCTCAACGGTTATTCTAAAACAGCTGTGTAGTGGGTAGCCATTCCAGCTTGGATCTGGAAGTTCCAACCCCCATTGAAACTCTGGCAACTGTCACACCTACGAGGTGGGGCGAGGGGAGGCGCCTGGAGACCCGAGAGCTGGATGGGCCAGCGCTCTCTTTGTGCGCCCGCTCTGTGCCAGGACGCTGAACAGTGAAGGTGGACTGAGCAGAGCTCCGGAGAACACCGCTGGATTGCAATACACCTTCCCCAGACCCTGCGACCTACCTATTACTTAATTTGTGAGTTACGCCATTAAATAAATATCCTTTTAACTACGTAGAGTGGCCAAAATAATTTCTCCAATACAAATGAATCAAATAAAGCAACCCTCTAACAGTGTCTTAGCTTCTATCGCTGTGATAAAAACATCATGACCAAAAGCAACTTGGGAGCAAAGGGGTTTATTTCCATCTTGAACATCTCGATTGCAGCCCATCATGAAAGAAAGTCAGAAAAGGACCTCAAAGCAAGAACCTGGAACCTGGAGGCAGGAACTGAAGCAGAGATCATGGAGGAATGCTGTTTACTTACCTGCTCTCCATGCTTTCCTCAGCATGCTTTCTTATATAATTCAGGACCACCTTTCTAGGGGTGGCATCGTCCACAGTGAGCCGGACCCTCCTACATAATCATTAATGGACAATGCCCCCCAGATTTGCCGATAGACTGGTCTTATTGAGGCGTTTTCTCAGTTGAGGTCCCCTCCTCTCAAATGACTCTCTAGCTTGCATCAAGTTGACCAAAAAACAGAAAACAAAGGGAAAAAAAGCAACAACAAAATAAAACAAAACCAAATAAAATTAAATAAAACAAAAAAACTAGCCAGCACAAACCAGAAGGGTAATAGGACTTGTTTTCATATATATATATGTGTGTGTGTGTGTGTGTGTGTGTGTGTGTGTGTGTGTGTGTGTGTGTGTACATTTGTGTGAGGGAGAGAGAGAGAGAGAATGAGAATCTGTGAGTTCAAGGCCAACCTGAGAAGAAGAGAAAGACCAGAATCCAACAGGGAGCTCCAGTACATTTGATGAACTATTTCCTATTAGTTAATGATTGGCTCAATTTAAAAAGTAACAAGTAATGTGGGAAGAGCTAGATACCTAGGTATAAATCAGATAGGTTGTGCCTCACTAACAAATCCTGCATTAGAAAGTTCTAGATTTTTAAATAAAAAAAATCAAAACCACAAGATGTAAGAAGTGTTGATAAAACATTCTCGCCTTAGAAAACATGAGAGCTTTCTAAGGCGAGCAGCGGTGGTGAAGACGGGCAGATGAAAGACTGAGCGAGTCCAACATTTTCCTTTGACGCCAGAGATGCTGGCACCAGCCTGTAATCCAGGCTCTGGGGAGGCTGACCTAAGAGGCTTTTGAGTTCATGGCCAACCTGGGCAACATGCTGAGCCCATGTCTCAAAATAAGCAAGGAAGCAAGTAAAGTTTTCATTTGATGCCCTGCACCAAAATAATTGAATTCCACAAAGATGAAATGCAAATAAAAAATCCAGTAAGGTCAAGGGCGGTGGCACATACCTGTCATCTCAGCGCTTGTGAGACTGAGGCAGGAGGATCCACATGAGTTCAAGGCCAGCCTGGTCAATACAATCTCCAGGCTAGCCAAGACTACATAATGAGGCATAAAAAAAAAAAAAGACAACAATATAGCAAACAAACAACCTACCCTATACTCTAGTGATTATGACTCATGAAGAGGATTTGAAGCAGGATGGCAAAGGCTAGCATAAGATAGCTAATCTTAATGCTGATGAGAAAAGCAACTGGAGCTGAAGAGATGATCAGTAGTTATGGTCACTTGTTCTTACAGACCACCTGTGTCTAATTCCCAGCACCCACGTGGTAGCTCACAGCCTTTCATATAGCTCCTGTTCAAGGAATCCAGTACCCTCTTCAGGTCTCTGCTGGCACCAGACATTCATATGGCACATACACACAGGCAAAACACTCATATATATATATACAGTAAATTTAAAGAGTTTTAAAGGAACAACTAATTTATCAAAAAGAAATTAAAAATTTAAATGCCCAATAATGTATGAAAATTTTATACTCACAGGATTAAGTAAAATATAATTTAAAATCATAAGATGCCAAATTATCACACTTTTAAACACACAAAATTCATTGTTGATAAGTATTTGAGGAAATGGGTATTTTTTTTTTATGCTTCAAGCAAGACCAGTGGGTGCATCCATAATAAGAAGCATTCTAGCAACATATGTCTACAGTTTAAGAAATGTATTCTGAGCCTGGCAGTGGTGGCACACGCCTTTAATCTTAGCACTCAGAAGGCAGAGACAGGTGGTTCTCTGTGAGTTCGAGGCCAGCCTGGGAACTACACAGAGAAACCCTGTCTCAAAAAACCAAAAAAAAAAAAAAAAAAAAAAGAAAGAAAGAAAGAAAGAAAGAAAGAAAGAAAGAAAGAAAGAAAGAAAGAAAGAAAGAAAGAAAAAAAGAAAGAAAGAAAGAAAGAAAGAAAGAAATATATTCTGCTCCTATGCACGGAAGTACAAACCTATAATCCAGCCTTAGCGAAGCTGAAACAATAGAGTTTGAGGCCAGTCCAGGTTACATAGGGAATTACAGTGCGGCCTTAACTACATAGCAAAACCTTGTCTCAGAAACAAAACCCAGGGGCTGAGGAGACGGCTCAGTAGGCAAAGTGCTTGCCACACAAGCGTGAGGACCTGAGTCCAGATTCCCAGCACCCACATAAAAGACTGGACACGGTGGTGGCCACGGCCAGCAATCCCAGGGCTGGAAAGGAGGGACACAAGAATCACTAAGACACCCTAAGCAGCCAGCCTAGCCAAACTGAGCAGCTCCAGTTTCAGTGAGAGGCCTTGTGGGATTGGGGGAGACGGGAGTCCAGTTGAAGGAGGCACATGATGCATCTCTGACCTCCACACTCATACACACATGTGTGCACATACACACTAGAATAAATATACACACACAGAGCACGCACACACACACACACACACACACACACACACACACACACACAACTTACTATTATACCTAGCAATTCTGCTTTTTAGGAGCTTTTCTCAGAAATAGTTTTGAACCCATACGTGGAGTTACTTACTGAAAAGTAAATTATAGCATTCATTTTAAAGTTATAAAAGTGCAAGCTAAATATCTAGAAGTCAAGAGATTTATTTTTAAAGTACAATACACTTAGAGAATAAAATACTATACTGGGATGAAATGAGAGCGTAAGATGTGTGTTTTTATGTTGAAGGAGGAGGAGGAGAGGGAGGCAGCTAGACAGATGGCTCCGTGGATAATTAATTTGATATATAAATATGAGGACTGGAATTCCAATATCCAGGACCCAAGTAAAACTGGGTGTGGTCCCAAATGTGTCATCCCAGTACCCTCCCGTGAAACAGTAGGCAGAGATAGGAGAATCCCCAGAAACTTAAGGGCACACTAGCCTAGTGCCTATGTCTAGCCTGGTGTCTATGTCTAACCTGGGGTACTGAGCTAACCTGGCGCACGCAGCTAACCTGGTACAAGAAGCAGAAAAGCAACAAAGCGATCCCGCCTTAAACAAGGAGGAAGGCGTGGGCCAGCAACCAAGGACATTCTTTGGCTTCCACATATTCACCTAAGTATGCATGTACCTCACACACACACACACACACACACACACACACACACACACACACACACACACACACCCTATTTGCACACATGTCATACATCCCAAAAGATTTTAATTTTAAAAAAGCATCTTCCAGCCAGGCGGTAGTGGCGCATGCCTTTAATCCCAGCACTTGGGAGGCAGAGGCAGGCGGATCTCTGTGAGTTCAAGGCCAGCCTGGTTTACAGAGCGACTTCCAGAAAAGGTGCAAAGCTACACAGAGAAACCCTGTCTTGGGAAAAAATAAAGGCATCTTCCATCCAATTTGAAAGTGAACAAAGGATTGAATAGACACTCTGTGAGGAAGACATACAGACGGCCAACAGGCTCATGAAACATATGTAAAGGTTCCTCTTTGCCTGTGTCTTTTGTGTGTTTGTGTTAGAGGTTCATCCTAATGCAGGTGCTGTTTCTTTTCTTTTTTTAAGATTTATTTATTTATTATGTATACAGTGTTCTGCCTGCATGTATCACTTCAGGCCAGAAGAGGGCACCAGATCTCATTATAGATGGTTATGACCCACCATGTGGTTGCTGGGAATTGAACTCAGGACCTCTGGAAGAGCAGGCAGTGCGCTTAACCCCTGAGCCATCTCTCCAGCCCTGATTCTTTTCTTTTAATTAGTTAATTTTTACGTGTATGTGTGTTTGCTGACATGCAGTGCCCAAAGAGGCCAAAAGAGGGCGCCAGATCTCCTGGAACTGGAGATACAGATGGTTGTGAGCCACCACATGGGTGCTGGGGATTGAACCCGAGTCCTCTGTGAGTGCTCTTAAGGGGTGTCCAGCTCTCCCGCCCCACTGCTTGCTTGTTTTCTTGATGTCCATCATCCTTGCTAGGGAGGGATGGAATCTCAGCACAGTTTTGAACATGTGTATCAGAAGTAGCAGTGGGTGGAGGCAGCAGCTTCTTCATGAATATATTGGTAAGAAGGGATTCCTCCTCCTTGCCCCTCCTCCTTACCTTTCTTTCATTTTTGTTTTTGTTGTTTTTGAGATAGGGTTTACTCCATCGCCTGGACTGGTGTCTCACTCTTCATGCTTGTAGACCAGGCAGTGAGGGTCCTTAGAGCTGGAGCGACACTTGTGTGCTACCACACCCAGCTGTGCTTCCTCCTTCTCCTCCTCCTCCTCCTCCTCCTCCCCCTTCTTCTAAGGTTTATTTATTATGTATACAGTGTTCTCTGCCTGCACGTACACCTGCACACCAGAAGAGGGCACCAGATCTCATGACAGATGGTTGTGAGCCACCATGTGGTTGCTGGGAATTGAACTCAGTTCTCGAAGAGCAGTCAGTGCTCTTAACCTCTGAGCCATCTCTCCAGCCCCATTTATTGATTGGATTATTCGCTTGTGTGTGTGTGTGCGTGCGTGCGTGCGTGCGTGCGTGTGTGTGTGTGTGTGTGTGTGTGTGTGTGTGTGTTTAAAGTTTCCAAGGGAGAGCTGACAAAGATTTCCTCCCATTCAGCAGGCTGTCTTCCGTCTTTAATGGTTTTCTTCATCACAAGAAACTTTTAAGTTTGATGTACTGTCCTCAGTCAATTCTGGTGCTGATTATCTTGGAAGCTCCTGGAGCTCCATTCAAACCATGCCTAGGCCTAAGTCTTGAAGCTGTTCTCTAGCCTTCCAAAGCCCCAGTTCCTACATACTAGCTTTGATAAGTATTGAATTCATTTTTGTACAGGGCAAGAGGGACCTATTTTCACCTCTTTTATGTGTGAATATCCCATTTCTTCTGCATCATTTGTTAAAGATGTTGACCTTTCCCCCATGTATATTTTTGGCTCCTTTGTCAAGAATTCGATGGCTGAGTTGGGCACAGCAGGACACACCTGCGCTCCAGCCCTTGATGAATAAAGCTGCCCTGGAGAGAGCTGGCTGCTCCTCCCACACACCCCACCTGTCCTGAAGCACCAGAAAAGGTGGAAAAGGTCCGGTGCTGTGCAGGGGGTCCCAGGGAACTCCCCTTCCCGACACACTGGAACTGGAGACTGCAGGAAACAGCTCATCCCTCCCTGGCACAGCACCATGCAGCCTGGTAGAGCCAAAGAGATCTGAGAACATCACCTTTCAACTCTGTGCAGCTGTACCAGCAGCCCGCTCCATATGTGGTCTTTTAATTTCTTATGCTCAGTTCTTTAATTTCCACTCTTGCCCGTATGTCTCAGGATGCTTCAGCTTGTGTCTGTGTGCTGCTCAGTTAGGCTTTAGGAATGCCGTGTCTGTGTCTTCAATCAGTCTAAACAAGTCATTCTCCCCACCCCACTCCCTCTGAGACGGGGTTTACAAATCTCTGTGTAAGAGCCCTAGCTGTCCTGAACCTAACTCTGTAGATCAGGCTGGCCTTGAACTCACAGAGATCTGCCTGCCTCTGCTGGAATTAAAGGCGTGCATCACCACTGCTGGGCCATACAGGGTTTCTCTGTGTAGCTTTGGAGCCTGTCCTGGAACTCATTCTGTAGCCCAGGCTGGCCTCAAACTCACAGAGATCCGCCTGGCTCTGCCTCCCAAGTGCTGGGATTAAAGGTGTGCGCCACCACTGCCCAGCCATAATTCATTCTTTACTCCATCTTCCACCCATATATTTTAATGCTTCTCTTATACTTCATGTACATTCTCATACTTTTCCTATTACTACATCTCCTCCTCTTTCACCCTTGATGCTTCCTCTTTATTACTTTTTAAAAATGATTTTTTAATTTATTTATGTTACGTGTGTGTTTGCCCGAATGTATGTATGTTTATGTTCCACGTGCATGCAATGCCTATGGTGCCAGAAGAAGGTGCTGGATCCTCTGCAAATGAGGATGACTCCAATAAGCTCCTGTGTTGAATAATTTGGGCAGGTTGGTAGAACTTTTGAGGACTGGGAAATGTGGCCTTGTTGAAGGAGGTGTGTCCCTGGGGAACAGATGTGAGGTGTCAAAGCATCTCCCAGCTAGCTCCCTGCCTCTTGCTTGAGAATCAGATGTGAGCTCTCAGCTACTGCTCCAGCGCCATGCCTGCCTGCTGCCATGCTGGTCACGGACTTTAATCCTCTGGAACCATGAGCCCCAAATTAAACATTTTCTTTTATAAGTTGCCTCTGTAATGGTGTCTGTCACAGCAATGGGAATGTAACTAAGCTAAAGATGGTTGTGTGCAACCACGTGGGTGCTGGGGATCGAACCCAGGTCCTCTGGAAGAGCAGCCAGTGCTCTTAACCATACCTGCCCTCTTTTTTCTTTCTTTCTTTTTTCTTTTTTGGACAGTCTCTTTACATAGCTCTGACTGTCCTGACTGGAACTCACTATGTAGACCAGACTGGTCTCGAACTCACAGAGACCCTCTTGCCTCTGCCTCCTGAGTGTTGGGATTGAAGGCGTGTGCCACCATGCCCAGCTCTTTTTACTTCTTAGTTATGACCTTCCATAGCTTTAACAGTCTCTAAAATCTCCTTCTAGCTACTTTAGCTACTTAATTTTTTTCTTTTCTAAATTAATATAATATTTAATCCTTATCTTTACCCGCCCTCTGTCCCTCCTGCTTTAACCTGATTAACTTAAATGGGAACATGCTCCCTGCTGTCTTCAGGTGTTTAACCTCCAGCAGTTATTGCAACCAAAGGGGCCACCGTTACTAATTGGTTAGTACATTTTCGTAGTGGGAATATCCAGCAGCCGTGGTTGCTCTCTCAATTAACATCTACCAGAGAATAATACAGAGCTTACACGAGGCACCCAGAGTTCCTGGACTAAGGAATTATTTTCTGGACTACACACTCAGCTCAGCCACATCCAGTTCCCAGGTAAACACAGCAAATTCTTTGACTGAAATAATACAGCTGATTTTAAAAAACGAACCAAGCAAGGAAATAAACACCAGGTGCATAACTCCCAACTCAGTAATGTAAGACACATAAAAGCCCGAGACAACATAACGCCTCCCAAAATTACTGTTGTCTAACTGAATTGACACGTCGTCAAACGACCTTTGAAATATTTCTGCTTTTACCCATAGATCACTGCTGTTCTCAGCCCCGGCCAGAAGCTTCTAGCTATAGTGGACAGTAGTTAATGCAGAGACACAGAACTGGTCAGAGTGCTGAAATTATGTGATTGCTGAGTGCTCAGCCCTAAATGGGACATCTGTATCAATCTACTTAAGACACAGGGAACGTCAAGAAGGAGAAGGAAAAAGAATGTAAGTGGCCGAGCGTGGTGGCGCACGCCTTTGTTCCCAGCACTCAGGAGGTAGAGCCAGGTGGATATCTGTGAGTTCAAGGCCAGCCTAGTCTACAGAGCGAGATCCAGGACAGGCACCAAAACTACACGGAGAAACCTTGTCTCAGAGGGGAAAAAAAAAGTCTCAGAGGGAAAAAAAAAAAAAAAAAAAAAAAAACCCCGACATCTCTAGCTAGAAAGATGACTTAGCTGTTAAGGGCACATACTGGTCTTCCAGAGGACCCAAGTTCAGTTCAGTGACTGACAAGCACCTATAACTCTTGCTCCAGGAGATCTGACATCTCTTTTCTGGTCACACACAACATAACCAAAAGACACAGAAACACATAAGTAAAAATAAATCTTAAATTAAAAAAGAAAATAGACATAGGGCTGGAGAGATGGCTTAGTAGTTAAGAGCACTGGTTGCTCTTCCAGAGGTCTTGAGTTCAATTCCCAGCAACCACATGATGGCTCACAACCATCTGTAATGAGATCTGGTGCCCTCTTCTGATGTAAAGGTGTACATGCAGGTAGAGCACTCATACATTAACTAACTAACTAAATAAATAAATAAATGAATGAATGAATGAATGAATGAATGAATGAATGAATGAATAAATGAATAAATGAATGAATCTTTTTAAAAATTCAACATGTCTTCATGATAAGAGCCCTGAAGAAACAAGGAGCTGAAAGCTCACCCTTCATTGTAGTAAAGGCTGTGTTACCACAGAAATAGAGTCTTGAGACTGTTAGGAGCAATTATATAAGAGATTTGAGAGCCAGAAGTTAGAGGTCATGACTATAACCCCAGCATTTGGGTGGCAAAGGCAGAATCGTGTGTCTACACGATGAGGCCATCTGTGGCTACATAGAGAGTTTAGAGCCAGCCTAGGGTACTTGAGACCCTCTCTAAAAAGAGGAAAGAAAGGAAGGAAACAAAAGGAAGGGAGGGAGGGAGGGAAGGAGTGAGGGACTGAGGGAGAGAGAGAGAGAGAGAGAGAGAGAGAGAGAGAGAGAGAGAGAGA